CCCTCAAAATCTGCCTTCAAACAGCAGCCATTATACTGTATCTGCCACATCTCAATTAACACTACAGCTCCTCAGTATTGTTACAACTGAATCTACATCCAATCCACTTTATTTCTATCCAGTTTAGCACATGTCATAAACTGTTTAAAAGTGCTGCACGAATTCACAGTAACAACAATAACATAGTAATAGATTTCATGTAATAATATGTAATAGGTTTGTATGTAAATATAAAAATAAGATATAATAGCAGCCAAACTGGGACCTTCTTGCTGTGAGGTGAACTCTTAAGGAACATGGAAAAAATACAATTAACAGCTTGATTGTAGTCATATACAACATAAAATATACATAAATACATAAAAAAATATACATAAGTAAGTTCCATGTTCATGTCCATGTTCTGTTATTGTGTCCTAAGGCAAGACACTTCATCCACATTGCTTTCTTAATGTCTGATTTGATTGATACTGCTAGCCCGTTTAGTTGGAGAAGTCCTCATCTACCATCAATCTGGAGTTTTGTTACTCTGGTAAAAGGCACAGGCTTTCTTCTATATGTGTTCATCACGGTGCAACAATCATCCAAAATCTCTGAAACCCCGATAAAGTTTGTTCATTGCAGCCCACATATGGCCCACGCCGTTAAGTTTCTATGGGAATTTGTGATTTGGAATTCTGAGGCATGTCCGGACTTGAAATGAGTTGTTGGTGTGTTTATGCTCATTTCACAAACAACACGAGGATTAGCAGTATATATTTTCTAGCAACATCCTATTCTTAAAGTTCCTATATTATATACCACCGACTCTTGTGAACGTTAAACCATGTTATAATGCACTTACCTCATCAAAAACATACCTGGAGTTGTTTTTTGTTTGATTCACACATGTTTGAATTACATGAAGTGGTAATTTTCAAGTTAATAGGTACTTTTTACTCTAAATCAGTAGAGATGGGCAATTCCAGGCTTGACATCATCCAAATGATTTTATTAAAGGTATATTGAGTTTAAAAACACAGTTTACCACATGACATGACAACTGAATGCTTTCCATTTGAGAGAAGAACTGCCTAAATACACAGGGCTTGTGTGTTAAACATGTGTGAATGAAACAAAACACAACTCCAGATTTGCTTTTGATGAGGAAAAATAACAAACATAACAAAAAAGTTTTTAGAAATAATCTTAAGATTAAACAGTTGTGGACATGTATTATGTATATATGTACAAAAATGCCCCATTGTGCAGTTCAGTATTACTGTAAGTGCACTGTGACTGCAATGTAAAATGTAATGCAATGTTAAAGTTGTGGTAAAACTGTGATTAACATTTTTCTGTTGTTTCTCCAATTCTCCTACAAACAAACAGAGGAGGAAATAATTAGCAAATATCTCTGAGAATTAGCTTCCCTTGGACCTATTTGAGTTAGTTTGCTCAATAAAGCAACTTTAAATTTGCCAAATCCTTGCCTAAACCAAATGTGGCTATAATGAAAAAGGCCCAGTGGCCACGCATACTTTTCCAGGTCCTGTATCATGCAAAATTTACTCTTGTGAGCTTTAAGCCATGTTATAATGTTTTTACCTCATCAAAAACATACCCAGTTGTGTTTTGTTTCATTCACACATGTTTGAGTAACCTTTTATTATTAGTCTTTCTACGTCCAAAGCTTATACGAAGATGAAGATGAAGCTTAAAAACACAGTAGAGCACTTCCTGTATTATCACATGACCTCACAAGGTGGAACAGAGTGTAAACCAGAAAATAATATGGGCAGAGTAGAGAATGACCATAAATAAGAACATGCTTAATCAATATATGCGCTTTACTGCTGTACTACAAGGTTACTAGGACAAAAGGCCCAGGGACATTTCATATAGTGGCCTTTGAAAATTGCTTTTATAATGCATTTAAAGTGATCTACAATCGAAAAATTAATCTTTTAGAATAGCAACGCCAAGGGTGCTTCATGGTCACACAAAATCCTCAAACTCTTATTGTCACCATGATTTGTAAACTCAATCAGCTATTAAAGACCAAAATGACTGTTCCCTCTGACAATGCCCTGCCATAAAGTTGATATGTTTCCAGCTCATTCATTGAGGTTTGGTCTTGCATTTTTAATCTCATCTCCCAGCTACTATATTTCATTTTTATGTGTTATTTCTAAATCCTTGGCTTCTTCCTTTACAGTGTTTGGAGTGCAGCTGGGGCTTTTTATTTTGGTGGAACAGGGCCAGAGACTTGTTTTTGCCTCAGGATGGGCAGACTGCAGGAGTGGGGGTTTCATGTGGGAATTTGTGACACTTGTAATGGAAATGTATGTACACGGCCAGTGTGAAGCCATGAGGAAGCAGTTTCTGGCTCAGACACGTTACAGTGATTTGAAATTCCCATCTGGTTCAACAGCGAGGACTTGGCGTGGATGAATAATACACATAATATCAAATGGTTTAAGCTACTGGGCCCATCACAGTTTTTCTGCTTAAAGGGCTCATATTAAACAATTTTTTAAAGTTATAATATTGTTTCCTCATCAAAAACATACCTGGAGTTGTGTTATGTTTCATTCACACATGTTTAACACACAAATTGTGCATTTAAAATGTGGCTTTTTCTCAAACAGAAAACACTATTCCACCTTGTGATGTCATGTGTTATTACAGGAAGTGCTCCAGTGTGTTTTTAGACCCCATACACCTTCTCTACAATAATTTGGATGATTTCAATGTGAGAATTGCCAATCTGAACAAAAAATAAAAGGTAGCTGTTAACTTGAAAACTACCACTTCATGACATCACAAAGTGGAACAAAGCATTTTGAATTTAGGAGACATGCTCAGAGTAATAATGCAAGATTACTCAAACATGTGTGAATGAAACAAAAATTACAATCTGCTAGTCTCGTTGAAGATATTATTGATTTAATGTCATACTGTGAAACATTCTATAAAAAGCAATAACAAAACAACTCCATGGAGACAAGCAGGTGTTGAAACCTCCACCAGAAAACTTACATTGTCCAACTGTAACGTTAAATTACCCCTACTATTTATATGTTTTGCCCATTTGATGAAATAAATTAATACATAGGCTATTTATATATTTAATGTGATTTTATTCCTTGTAAGTTTCACTATTCTATTTCTATTTAATAAACCATGTTTTATTATCACAACTGTGACCAAGTGGACAGTTAGGTTTGTCCCAGATCAGTGTTTTAACGGAAATATGTGGATGCTGATTTAAGAAGTGCTTTATCCTGGTGAACAACAAGATGGATTTAGAAGATGGTACAAACTATGGAAACATCCTGGTGTTTCTATTTCACTATTTTGTTCATAAATCAATCCCTAATCCTTAATATGGAACTTGTATCCAAAATCAGCCTTACAACTGCTAGTTTTTAACTGGAGCTGAGCACTATGGGTGACGCCACACTCTTTTAATCCACTTCTTTATACAGTCTATGGAACACATGCTAAAGTAGATTGCTGAAGAAAACAGGTGGTGAATTTTGGTTGCACAATGTTACAGCATTAGGCTTAACTTTGCATGCGATGTGTATTCCCAGAGATATAAGGTTACCAGATTGTTGGAGTCCCACCAAATCACAGTACACAGTTCAAAGCTATCACACGTGGGAACTATTTAAAATCTAGTCTTCAACAAGATTGTTACTTTCTTGTTCTTACAAAGGCAGACCCAAATGGACACAAGTGCGAAATCATTTACACAGCATTTTTACAATTTTACAGCCATAAATTCTCCTGATAAATGCTTCTGGAGACTGGTAGGAAACAGGAGAGTAAAAGTGCTTTCAGAGTAAAACATAATTTAAAAAAATACTAAATCACCAAATTAGCAAAGAGGTTGTCATATTTCCACAACCTGCCATGTATAATTGATTAACTGTTATAGGCTATATTTGTTTATAATACATTAACTGGCTTGGGGTACTAGGTCTACATCTGCTGGATGTCTCACAACAGATTCTGGCACATCCGAAGAACTTCACCTATTTTATGTCTGTATAAACCAGAGTAGAAAGTAGATCTGCACAGCTTGAGACCATTTTTGTACAGTTTCTGAAAAGAGGAACTTGACAATTTTCAAAGCTGTGAGACATTTGCTCCTTGAAGTGTGAAATGTACCTTTGCCTTTAACTTTTTACATGAGACAAAACAACACTCAAAGAAATGTCGATTTCTTTCATACTAACTTGGGCCTATTTTTTACTTTCACAAGCTTTACCATAAAGTTATAATAACTTTATTTCTATTCAAATTATCTGAGTGTAGTATATAATACAGTATTTTATAGGCCTTGTCATTAGGGGTGTGCAAAAATATTAAAATATTGATGTATTGTATAATTTAATGTGTACAGTATCGATATTGTGGGCTGCTGTATCAACATATCAAGTATTTTTGATGTATTTTACTAAATTATTTTGTTTTAGCACTACAGTTTTGTTGCTTGTTCAGAGGAAAGAAACTCATTTATACAACACATTTAACATATTCACTGTTTTGATGATCATATTCACTTTGCACAAGAAGTGGTTTAACAAAGACTTTTAATATCACAGCCATCATTTAGCAATATTTTTTTTTTTATTGAACCATATCAAATCAATTTGAAATATATTGTATCGAATTGTAAGCTCACTGTATTGGAATATGTATTGTATCGTGGCTTATGTATCGAGGTATGTATCGTATCGGCAACTTCTGAATGATACCCAGCCCTACTTGTCATTAAAATATGCCTATTAGATAGACTCCTCTTTCTGATTTGGTTTTATAATTAAGTATTTTGACAATCATTTCTTTATAACTGGCGTATTACATTAAAGTGCTTTAAAAGAAGATGTAATTGCTTTTATTTAGTTGTTTTAAGCTATACAGTCTATGTTTGAAGCGAAGACTGTATATGTACTGAAGGCTCTGTGACGTTTGTTGCAGCTTTACGTTTTTGTTTGCGCATGTTTGTTCATAAAGTTATTTTTGAATCCAGCCAAGATGGCGGACTACGATTTGACAACCAAAATAGCACATTTTCTCGACCGACATTTGGTTTTTCCTCTCTTGGAGTTCCTCTCTGTAAAAGAAGTAAGACATGTTCTGTGTTTTTTCAAGATAGTAACTGAATAGCTGATTTATTACGGTATTATTATGCTTGATTACAGCCGGCGTGGATGCTCACACAACCGGCTTTTAAGCTAATGCTAATGCTAACCATATGCTACAAAATGCGAGGTCTGTATTAAATTTCGATCAACAAAAGCTTTTTTGTTTTGGCATCTCGATAACAATAGCGATATACATATGCGCTTTAATATAGGGTCAGATCTCTTTAATTATCTCTTTAATTTAAGAGATGCTGATATCAGTGCATTGAATCGCGCGCTAACCTAACGTAATACTAGTGGTGTGCGGTATTTATGAATTAATTTTTGGTTAAATGTCTCGTTAAATGTATTTTTTTTCAGATTTACAATGAAAAGGAACTTCTCCAGGGGAAGCTGGATCTTCTCAGCGACACAAACATGGTGGACTTCGCCATGGATGTGTACAAAAACCTGTATCCTGATAAAGATATACCACACTGTAAGAGAAACTGCAGCTATCGTGTTTCTTTAATGTGTCAGTCTGGCTTAATAACCCAAGTCAATGTTCTTTTTAATATGAGCACCTTGTATTTATCTATTTACAGAATACAGTTTGTTGAGGCATGTAGACTTACTATTACAGTCCTATTATTTTTAACAGTATGAGTTGAAAAATATAGAAAGCTATGTTATGTATTATTAAGGTGGGGTGATGGTCGCCCACAGCTTCTGAGATTAATTTTCTCTGCAGGAGCAACTCTATAATCTCCATTTGTAGCAAAATGTGATCCTTATTGTATGTTTAATTGTTTTCAAAGTCTTTCATTATGTTGTTCCTGTTTTTCTCTGCTATAGCTCTGAAGGAGAAGAGGACAACAGTTGTAGCGCAGTTGAAGCAACTCCAATCAGAGACAGAGCCCATTGTAAAGATGTTTGAGGATCCAGAAACAACTCGACAGATGCAGTCCACAAGGTCAGAGTCTGTTCAGTGGACATGCCTTTGTGCCAAATTATGCAGGGATGGACTTTGACATAATATAAATATATCACAAAATTGTTCTCATATTAATTGGTCATGATTTTTACAGTTCTGTTTAGTCACAATAAAAACACTTTCAGTATACTTCCAAAAAGAGCTGTGGAACATCCCAATAAGATGCTGGGTTTCAAACTGGTAAATACATTATATAACAGTATAGCTTTTGCATACTTGAAATAATGCTAAGATTAGTATAGCATCTTAAAATCAACAGAAAATTCTGTAATATGTAACGACACAATCCCGATCTCTTCCTCTTTCCTCAGCATAAACAAGACTAGTAATTATTGCCATTTAACACAAAAACCTTACCATATGCTTTGACTGACTGTAGACATCTACCAAGACTCAAGCTGATCATAGGAATGACAGAATCTCGATCTTGATTAAAATCTGTTTAATTACACAGCCTTAGTGCCAAGTCATTTGTATTTGCAAGACAGAATGTATCATCTGTTGTTTTCTTGTTTGTCAGGGATGGGAGGATGCTGTTCGAGTACCTGTCAGAGAAACACAATGTGAGTTTAATTTTAGTTTTTCTCTTGTTCCAATATTTTGTTTCCATGACAACATAGTGGAACTGCAGGTTTTAATTCTCAAATTTGTATCCCATCTGTGCCCTGCTCAGCACTTGTCATACTAAATGAAATCTTTATTGTCTGATTTTGGGATTTGTTATCAACCTAGTGATTTTTGATACTTGCTTTTATTTGTAGTATGGTAAATTTATTCAAATGAGTTATTCAGTATTATAACACTTTCTTACTTGTTCTTCAGTTTCGTCAGGAGTACTTGGACACTCTTTACAGATATGCCAAGTTTCAGTACGAGTGCGGTAACTACTCTGGAGCAGCAGAATACCTCTACTTTTTCCGTGTGTTGGTAAGATCTATTCCATTAATTTAACATATCTGACCCACTGTTGTCTGATAAAGGTGTCTGGTTTAATGGAGTCTCAATATGAATTTCCTTTATTAGGTGCCCTCCACTGACAGAAATGCCCTGAGCTCTCTTTGGGGAAAACTGGCCTCTGAAATCCTGATGCAGAACTGGGAAGCAGCAATGGAGGATCTGACAAGACTTCGAGAGACCATTGACAACAATGTAAAAAAAAAATCAATGATTGTTCCACATTAGATCAATATGTGTTATACAGTATATGCAGGAACTATGTAGTGTAAAGCAGTTGCTCTGTACTTGTAAATAAATAAAACCCAAAGCCTGTTTAAAATCAGCACTAATATACAGCTAAACTAGGTAGAAAATGATATTTACCCAACTAGAAAAAATAGAAAAAGTCTAAGTACTTATTAGCATCAATACTTTAACAGAGTTGTTCAATAATGTATACATAGTATACATTGGAATCAAAGAAAACTCCCATGTTAAATGTAACTAAATGTTTTTATTATACCAGCATAGAGCATAAAATACAGTGTGTTTATTTTTTCTGTTAAGCCGAGCATTAGATCTGATAATCGTTTGTTGTCTACAGTCTGTGAGTTCCCCTCTCCAGTCGCTGCAGCAGAGGACCTGGCTCATTCACTGGTCTCTATTCGTCTTCTTTAATCACCCCAAAGGCAGAGACAACATCATCGAGCTGTTCCTCTACCAGCCGCAGTAAGTCCACTCAGGCCTATGTGTTATTATAATACCCTTTCATTCCAATGGTTTTATATTAAGAGTCTTATTGAAATTCAGTGTCTTTCTGAAGGACATCTCAAAGTGGCACTGGCTTAAAACTAAAATCACTGTTTAGCATTTTACTTATTAGTAATGTTTAATACATGTGTTTGAATAGTGATGGCCTTCTTAAAAATATATTTTCTCCTTTTTCACATTGTAATTATTTACATATTGTTTGTTAACTTCAATTTCTTCATGTATAGAAAAGTGGGTAAGCTCAAAACCGTTCTAAACCAATTCCTAGTACATACCATACTGTAGTTGCCTGGGATCCAGAATGCACACTTCTTCAATACTTTATGAAGATATGAGTTGAATCTCCATGAGTTCAGATGGACGTGATTGACAGGTGGATTAGTCAATCAAGGACAGGCATGGTCCGTATCAGAACAAATACGGCTGCTTATCTGGTAAAAAGGAGAGGAAAAAAATAACACAGGAGTAAAAAAAAAAAATGTCACAGATTTCTGTAGAATCAATGAATGAAGCACTAAGCTTACTGTTTGAGATGAGAGAAATTTAATTTATTATTCAAAATGGTAGATGACCAATGAGCTCCTTCATTTCACATTTGTCATTGAAAAGAAAAAATCTGGTAGCATGATGGTGTTTGGTTCTGGCTCATGTTGTGACGGTGGGCATGGGAACCAGACTGATCTGTATAAATAATACAAAGAGATATCATTCTGGACTGGGAAATACTATAGATAGTTCTTCAGGTCTCTTTCTATTTCTTACTAGTCTACTCACCCCCTGGAAGAGAACCTGTGTAACATTTCATTTGACCAAGTGATGTTTTTGTGCAGATATACACATATTTGGCTGGAAGCTCTAACAATGAACATAATACTATAATGATTTACTCGTAGTCATTTCCTCACTCGTATTCAGTGTAATATTATATTAATTGTGCTTGCTCTGTATACACCTCGGTACATGTCTATGCCTGTTGCCTTTGTGATTTTTCTCAGAGCTGCTGTTTTGCTTTGTCTTTCCAGGTACCTCAATGCCATACAGACAATGTGCCCACACATCCTGCGGTACCTCACCACAGCTGTCATCACCAACAAAGACGTGAGGAAGAGGAGACAAGTGCTCAAGGACCTCGTCAAAGTCATTCAACAGGTTTGTGGAGAAAATAAAATACACACAGAGTTAAGTTTAGGTCCTTATATCGCACAAAATGGATTCTTTAAGCCATGTTATAATGCTGTTACCTCATCAAAAACATACCTGAAGTTGTGTTTTGTTTCATTCACACATTTGAGTAAACCCTTTATTGTTAGTCTGTCTACATCTCCAAAGCTCAAAATACTCTGGAGCCACTCAAGTCTTGTTTTTTGGGGGACCATTCAGTGGTAATATACTGATCACCTAGTTAAGGCCTGTTTTAGTCCCGGTATTGTCTAGGGTTAGTTACGTTTTACGTATCATGTTTCGTTTGGGTTTGGTCAGATTTTTGTGTTTTATGTCCTGGTATGTTCCATAGAATAGTGTTAAAACTTTATATATTTTGCTACATAAATTCAATCACTGATGCTATGGAAAAACATGTATTGTTACTACGTGTGAGCCTCGCCACAGCTCTGACTGAGTAATTTGGTGTGTTGGTGCCATCTGCCTGTTTCCATGTACATAAGTCAGTTTAATGCCGTACTGCAAAACATTCAAGGAAAGCAATGGCATCACCACAAATTCCATCTCCACAGAATTCTAAAAAGACTACATACTCATTATTATTATCCATTATTTTATTGTATATTTAGCCATCCCCACTTACATTTTCTCACTTTTTCAGGAGTCTTACAGTAGGACCCTGTCACTGAGATTGTGGAGTGTTTATATGTGAAAAGAGACTCTTTTAATATATATCAGCCATAAATAAAAAGAGAAACAACAGCTGGGGATGAAGTTTGTCATGCGTCTTGTGTGAGGCTATTCTATATACTCTCCTTATTAGACAGTGTAGCCCTCCTTTACATATGTATGCATGCATTTTTATGTATATATTTATTTACAAAACTTTACAGCAGTTTTACAATTTACTTCTATGAAACTTTTGTAAAAGGGAATTCCCACATGCACCTAACCTTTATAATAAGCCTGGAAATCGCAGTGTCTCTCATGATTCGGTACAATACTTGATACATGGCTCACGATACGATATTATCCAACATGGCAGTACATGGGATTAATCGATATTGAATATGATATATGCAATATATCACTATTTACAAACCAAATACATTTTAACAACAGTATTTATTTGTTACACAACTACTTGTGCAAAGTCAGTATGGAATAAACCAACTTGAACCGTTAAAACAGTGAATGTGTCTTTTTTCAGGAGTCTTACACTTACAAGGACCCCATCACTGAGTTTGTGGAGTGTCTCTATGTGAACTTTGATTTCGACAGCGCCCAGAAGAAGCTGCGCGAGTGTGAGTCGGTGAGTCCAGTCCACACTCTGTTCTCGGTCACGGTGCATGGACCCAAATCACCAAAGAAAAGGTAGCTGCCTCTGGGGACCTCTCTGATCTCCCTGAGACCACAGCGCTCAATATTGGACCTATTCAACCTCAGCAAATCCTGGTCTGGCCTGATTAGCCTCCTCTTAACTTTTCGACAGTTTGAAGTGGAACCGCTGTCAGGTTTAAGGCTCTTTGGAAACCCCAGCTCTGTAGTTGCAGACTCTGGGACCACTTAATTACACTGTAGAAGACTATAACTTTGCTCGCCTTCATTTATTAGCAGGAAGGCAGAGTTTTAGTTTGTACATCTCGCCAATTAAAAGTATCCAGAACTCCACAGGGCTGAAAAAATTGGGAAAATATCTAATTGCAATTTTTCCGATAAGTATTACAATTGCGATAAGATTTGTAATTTATGTTTTAATAATACAATTCTGTAATTACACTATAGAAGACTGTAACTTCGCGTACCTTCATTTATTAGCCTGGAAAGCAGAGTTTTAGTTTGTACATCTCACTAATTAAATGTATAGAAGTATATAGGGCTGAACAATTTGGGAAACATCTTTTTGATTGTGATAACATATGTCATTTATGGTTTAATAAGGGATTCAAAATAGTTTGACCATTGGAAAGTTAGAAAATCAAATAATGAGATAATGGTGGGAGTTAAATGTTGTTATAGCTGTCAGTGATACCATTATAATATATATTTTTGTCTGGATCCTTGTGTAACTCTAAGCAAGAAATAATTTACAGTAGCAAAAGTCTTTGTCATTCTTACTGTATTTACTGCCGCAAAACAATGATTGATATGATAATTGAGTTGCTGGCCCTCAGAGTCACTACCTTTCAGAGACAGATGTTCTTCAACATATACAGTGTATGTGTGTGTATATTTGTACATATACGCGGTGTACTTGGTGTAATAACCCCCAAACTGGAGGAGTGTCACATCTTAGGAAAAACCTCAGATGTCTCAGTAAAGGAAAGTGTTGTATTAGGAACAAAGCTACCAGGATTCACCTTTATAAGAAGAGGCCACAGACACAGGAAAAATACATCATTACAGATTACAATTTATTCTTAATATGCAAACACTGTCCTATACTTTTTATGACTCAGCAGTTCATTTGAGTAAGTTATAGCTACTTATTTCACTGCATATGTATGAAATGACTTCTGCAGCTCAACCTCTCGTAGTCTATTTCTGCTTTTTTCTCTGTATCTTGGCTTTTTTAATGACCCATTTTGTGTCACTTTCACTCTTTAGGTTTTGGTAAATGACTTCTTCCTGGTGGCGTGTCTGGAGGACTTCATTGAAAACGCTCGTCTTTTCATCTTTGAGACTTTTTGCCGCATTCATCAGTGCATCAGTATCAGGTATTAAAAAATGCTTCAAAATGTGTAATTATTAGTTTTCAATGGGTGTAGTTTTGAATGGAACGATGAAAGGAGCAGTGGAGAAAATGGAAATTGCTTTTTGGAGATGTCTGACACTTAAATGTTCTGGGTTTAAATTTCATTCCAGGTTTATGTAATAGTTTAGACTTGGTTATGGCCAGATTTATCTCGGGCTTGACAGTTGTTTATCTCTGACCCTCTTTGTTCAGTCTTGGTTCAATCATAGACTGTATAAAGAAGTGGACTAAGGGAATATGCTAGGTTCTCTTTGAAGATGACTCATGTCTCGAAGTTGTTTTACACAATTTACATATTTGCTGCATTAAATGTCTTCCATGTTGTCATTTTAAATATTCTAGGTTTAAATTTCAGTCCAGTTTATGTCCTAGTTTAGACTTGATTATGGTCTGATTTACCAATTGTTTAACATTTTTTAGCTCTGATTCTCCTCGTTTAGTCTTGGTTCAATCATCATTTAGTTAAGTTGTGGTTCTGACCTGCTTTCCATCTGTGTAGTCCTGGTTTGGTCCTGGTTTAGATTTAAGACCAGTTGAGACCTGATTTACAAGTAGAGATCCATTGTTTAGTTCTTGTTTAGTCCTTGTTTAATCCTAGTTTAGTCCCAGTTTAATCATGGTTTGCTCCTGGTGTGGTCCTGGTGTAGTCCTGATTTAGTTCTGGTATAGTCCTGATATAATCCTGGTCTAATCTTGGTATAGTCCTGGTTTAGTCCTGGTTTACACTAGAAAGCTCCTTGCTCTTTGAAGATGACTCATGTCTCAAAGTCCTTTAACACATTTTACATATTTGCTGCTTTAAATGTCACCCATGTTGTCTGTGAAGTCTTAAGTGTGCGCTATAAAGAGAATTTTAAGACTCTGGATGTCCTCCCCCTGAAGTTTGTTTACTAAACTGAATTGGCCTCTCATCTGTCACTTTTCTCAGCATGCTCGCTGATAAGCTCAATATGACGCCGGAGGAGGCAGAGCGCTGGATCGTCAACCTCATCAGGAACGCTAGGCTCGACGCCAAGATCGACTCTAAGCTGGTGAGAGACTGAGCACTCAATCTGCTATCAAAAGATTTAAAAGTCCTATATTACACAAAATATACTCTTGTGAACTTTAGGCCATGTTATAATGTTGTTACTTCATCAAAAATATACCTGGAGTTTTGTTTTATTTCATTTACACATTTTAACCCTCACACAAACTCTGTGTATTTAGGGTTTGTTTTTCTTCCAAATGGAAAACACTCTGTTTGACCCTGTGATGTCATGTGGCAATACAGGAAGTGCTCCACTGTGTTTTTAAACTCCACACATCTTCACTAGAATCATTTGGATAATTTCAGCCCAGGAATTGTGGAATCTCTACTGAACAAAACTGCAGCTTCATAACATCACAATGTGGAACAGCTTTGGAAATAGAGACAAACAAAGAATCATTCAAATGTGTGAAAGAAATAAAACACAACTCCAGGTATGTCAGTTTCTTGTAATTTAGGACCTTCAAATTCTATTAAAAAAGTTCCATGCTGACTGCCAGTGTTCTCCATAATATTGCTTTCCTTGTGCTCTCCAAAGCTTTCAGTGTTCACTATCAGTTAATGGAATCCAAGTTTTTGTAAAATTGTGATATTTTTTTGTGTCCTCTTTTTAGGGCCACGTGGTGATGGGGAACAATGCGGTGTCTCCGTACCAGCAGGTGATCGAGAAAACCAAAAGTCTGTCATTTCGGAGTCAGATGTTAGCCATGAACATCGAGAAGAAACTGGCGCATAGCAACAGGAATGAGGTGAGGGCAGGCACTTTGAAAACACAACAACACGCTAGCCTAAATAATAAAAAAAATAACCCCAGGTATGTGTGAATTAATCTCATTTGTGGTTTGATTATTGTATTACTGAGAAAGAAGATAAGATAACATTTGGGATTTCATATTGGTGGTTGAAAATGCCAAGTTTAACTAAGGTAAACCAAAGAAGACCGCTGCTAACCAAATCTGTTTAATTAGCAATACTTTTGTTGTTGAAAAATACTTTCTCTATTGAAACTTGTGTTGTATTTTTGGTGGTGTGTCCTGTGTCTGGTGCATTATCTGTCTAAACCTAAAAAAGATTTACCGGTAGTGTGAGTTGGTTCACACATTTGCTATTCTCAATAAGCAAAACAATATTTTCATTTGTCCATTGAGCATTAGGCCTGTACATGATGTACACAGGTCAAATTAATGAAACAGTATAGCTTTTGAAAACCTAATCTAGTGGGTGTCCTAATGTCTAATTCAATTAAAATGAGTGTCTTAAAGTTATGGGCTATTAAAGGGCCAATACTACGCTATTTTCTAGTCCATTACAATGCTGTGAGCTCATCCAAAACATACCTAAAGTTGTATTTTGTTACATTCACACGTTTAACACACAAACCTTGCATATTTAGGATTAGTTTTTCTGTCTTTTCCACCTTGTGATGTCTTGATCTACTGTGTTTTTAAACTCTATACATCTACACTAGAATCATTTGGTTAATTTGAGCCATGAAAGGTAGCTGTTAACTTGAAAACTACTTTTACATGACATCACAAGGTGGAATAATGCGTTTTGAGCTTTGGAGATGTGGACAGAGTAATAATAAATGATTACTCAAACATGTGTGAATGATAGGACTGCAACTAACAGCTCTTTCAATTTTGGACTAGTTGGTGTTTGTTTTTGTTTTTTTCTCAATTAGTCAAATAGATTATTTCTATTGCACTTTTAGATTCCTTTGATAAATGTTTAACCAAATAAAGGTGGAAATATGCAGATTATACCGATTATTGAACTAGTCAATAATTATTTTTGTAACAAATTCTAATACTGATCTATAGCTTTATCTGTTACATTTTGACAAAGCAGCTTAAAGATATTTTTGATTCAACCTGTAATATTATTCCATTTCTATATTTACATTTCTTTCCCCAGACTCCAAACTGGGCAGCGCAGGACAGTGGATTTTACTGAACCATCACCATGGAGACCGCAGAGGTGACTCTTCAACCAGCTGTTAATATTTATGCAAAAACAGACATCGGGCGTGATTACCATCTTTTCTTTGTAACCTTTGGACTGTGTAATTATTATTTAAAAGTCAGATTCCATTTACCCTCCAAAACTTCAACAATGTCATAGGTTTTCATTAAAATTCATTTTAAACAAAACTAATATATTGTGTTTTTGTCATTTTCCCACTAGATGGCAGTGTGTACTTTTTTTTATAATATATGGCTTTGCTGTCAGATTTTTTTTTTTTTTACCTCAAAAACTTGCAGTGCTGTTATTACTACTGTTATAATTTTAAATTTAATATTTCCTTTTTTTTTTTTTTTTTAACATTAGAGACTTTCGATACCAGACAGACCATATTATTTTGTTTTAGTGGGGTTTTTTTTAACCTCCAAAGCTTGCATTGTGTTGTAATTTCTACTGTTTACATTTGTTTCACATTTGAGACTTTTAATACCACACACAAATATAACTTTTTTTTTTTTTTTTCACTATGTGTTTTTTTTTTTTTTTTTGATGAATCGTAGTCTTAACATTCTTTGATAATAGCATTGTAAAACCAGAAATGAAAATTATACATTGTCACTATACATTTTCCCCTAGGACATAAAGCTGTCTGCTGTGCAAATTTGCTTTGAGAGTTTTTTTCTTATAAGAAATAAAGTCTAGAAAATATGTAGTTAAAGTTGGTTTCCATGGATATATGATTGCTGTTCCACAATATGACATTACACAGATTTACCCTACATGCATCAATTACAGGGAGTTTTATTGCTCAAAAATACCTAGAAAAACAGACATTTTGACAGAGGGGGGGTTACCTCTCCACAGATCTGATCAGTAACTTGGCCTGGTTTGGTCTCCATGGTGGTAATTTAGTGAAATATTTCAGATAAAGCTGAATAAAATAAAATGAAGTAGCAGTCCCTCCAAAAAAGTTACACAGTGCACCTTTAACATACATATAAACTATATTGTGTCACAAAACAAAAACTGAACTATGTGATGTTCCTCCAAACTTTAATGTAAGACACTGAATTTGGAAACTTTCTAAAAATAGCCTAAGCCCAAATAACATGGAAAAAGTTCAGTGAGTCATCAGACATTGTGTTAGTCACTCAGTAGACTATTTAATACTGTCTAATAATGAAGCACCACATATAAAATGGATATTACAAACAAATTCTTCTGTGGAAAATAAGCTGTGAATAAGGTGAAGTCTGGGTTTCATCCTAAATTTAAATCTACATTATAACTTTTATGGTAGAGGGTCCATCAAATGCTTTTCTCCCTGGAGATGTTATTGCTTTATCTGGAATGGTTCAACAGTATGGCAACGTTTCTATCTTCATGGAGACCAAACCAGACTAATACGGGACATGTCTGTGGAGAGGCGACCCTGCTCACAGTCAGAATGCCCGTTTTTCTAGGTATTTTTGAGCTATAAAACCACCTGCAATTGCATAAGGTAGAACTGTTTAATGTCATGCTGTGGAACATTGCATGACATATCCATAGAAACAAAAAAATCCATCTAACCTGTTATGGAGATTTATACATTTAATGCCATAGGGTGGAACATTGTAGACAGAGGCTGGTGGTATACCTTCATCCAGAAAACCTGTACAGTTTGATTGCTTATTTTTATTGTCTGTCATGCTACAACAATTATACATTTAAATTAATAATACACAATTAACTATTACATTGGACTATAAATAACACAAAATAGGTAGGTGTAATTTGAAAGCTACCACTAAATGACAAGGTGGAACAGAGCATTTTGAACTTTGCAGATGTAGACAGACTAATGATAAAGGATTACAAAAAAAAAATTAGAAATGACATGAAACAATAATTGCCTAACACCTTGACAATCTATACTAATGTGTTTTACTGCTGTATTATCTTTACTGCCATTCCTATGCTTTGATGACTTTGTGGCCTGTTTCTAGACATGTATCTCACCACACCCAGTTCATGGACAGCTCCAGTGGTTAAATATTTGTCTATTGTCAAGAAGACTGTAAAAACATCACGGTAAGCATTCATTACACACTTTAGGACTTAACTTACAGATTAAACATCAAAACCGGTTCTAGTATGTAGTTTTCTTACTCTTACTTAAGTCAAATGTCACTAGGCCTGTCACTATAATTACTATATTGATTTATCATTCAATATATGAAAGATGGAACAATATATTTTTAGGTAAATATTTATTGTGGTACTTTGTCTCAGTACTTGTGGAAAACCTTTGTTATTTTTCTGTTCTATGATAAGATCCAAGTTGTAAAACGTTGAATTAATCACTTCTGTGACTCATTACAGATGCAAACTAATTATTTTAACAGTATTGTACATTTAGACTAGCTTTTGTGGTTTAAAGATGCACCATGTAACTTTTTTACCAGTTTCTCCACATGGAGATATTGCCTGGAATGTTCCATCGTATTTACATTACACTTATTTGTTTCTACAGAGACAGCAGCTGATGCCGCAAGGCCAAGTTACATGTCAGATCTGTGGCGAGGCGAACCCACTCACAGTAAGAATGCAATTTTTTAAGTCAATAATAAAACATGTTACTGAGTAAATGCAAGATGAACACATTTAATGCCACATTGGGACATTCCAGACAAAGCAACATCTCCACAGAGACAAGCAGATGGCAGATCCTCCATCAGAAAAGTTTTACATTGAACCTTTGAATCTACTCTTTGGTTATTATGTCAGTGGCATAAATTCAGAGTCAGTATTATCGTCTATATTTTCTTCAGCAGTATATCAAACTTCAAAATTTGTTACCGTGACAGGTAGGGGTGTGCAAAAACATCAAAATATTGATATATCATATCCTTTAAAGTAGAATAGAATAGAATAGAATAGAAAGCCTTTATTGTCATTATACAATAGTATAATGAAATTCAGAGCTGCTCCACCAAGTGCAAGAATTAATAATAAATAAAACAAATTAACAGTTCTCATTTAGTATGGTGACAGCTTTGGGGAAGAAGTTGTCCCTGAGTCTAATGGTCCTAGCTGGAATTGACCTGAAGTGCCTGCCAGAAGGCAACAGGTTGAACAGGTGGAATCCAGGGTTTGTATTGCCTAGTGTGCTGATACAGTATCAATATTGTGAGCTGGTGTATCGATATATCACAAAGAGTATTTTTTGATATATTTTACTAAATAATTTTGTTACAGCGCTACAGTTTTACAGAGGAAGGAAACTCTTTTATGCAACACATTTGTCATATTTACTGTTTTGATGATTAAAATGTTTGTGTTTCATATGAATTTGCACAAGAAGTGGTTTAGCAAAGACTTTTAGTATCACAGCCATGATTTAGCCTTTATTTTTTATTGAATTGTATCGAATCGATTTGAAATAAATGGTATTGAATTGAAAGCTCATTGCATCAAGCTATGTATCATATCATGGCCCATGTATCAAGGTATGTATTGTACATACATAGTACATACAGCATATGCAGTAGTTACCAGTCTGGTCATATCATCTGAAATATTTGAAACATTTGTGTCTGCACGTGCTTGGTCATAAATTTACACTGGCCTGTTATGTCTTAATGGTTTTATTATATGAGATGTGTGAAAATTTGACTTCACTTGTCAATGGAATATGTCTTGTTATTATGGCTTTAAGTTGTAAGCTACTCTGCTACTTAAATATTCACAATTTAGATTTATTAATATTGTTTTAAATATTAACAAAATCAAGTAAGCTTACTGGACACTTCTTAATAAGTAAAATTTAAAGGCGCTTTGTTTTGCAACGTTTTGGTTGAGAGTTCATCACCTTCTAGTTTCTGTGGAAATGTCATTGCTCTGATTCTAATGTTCCACAGTACGACATTAAACAGCTCTACCTTACATTTACTCAATTACAGGTGGTTTTATAGGTCAAAAATATCTAGAAAAACAAGCATTTTGACTGTGAGTGGGGCTGCCTCTCCACAGATCTAAACAGTAACTTGGCCTGGTTTGATGATAGAAAGACTCTATGCCATAATGTGAAGCAAATTATCTCCATTGAGAAAAGTACGTGGCGGATCTTCCACCAGAAAAGTTACACAGTGCACCTTTAAGTAGCTATTAATTGCATTTACTTTAGTCAGTAATGGTTATTTTCTGCAGTGTAAGCTGGTATTACTAAAATGGTGCGTGCATTTGTGTCTTGCAATGATACAAACAGTAAAAAATAACACTTGCATTTTAGCACCTATTTAATTTTAATGATCTCCACACAGTAGCCTGTAGTTTTACACAGTTCCTATAGGTGCCCACAATTACACCAGTTAAAGCTGTTGCTGTGACAATCAGATATTTGTGGTATTTAACATCTAGAAAGGCTAACATTATGTGCCTATATGTTTAAATACTTTCTATTGTTACACAGGTTACTTGTGCAGGTGTGTGTGTGTGAATGAGTGAGTTGCCCCAGGTGCATTTTTGGTCCTTTTCTTTTTACTGCCCTCTGTTCTGTCTGCAGTGGGGGAAGAAGTACTCAGTTTTGTGACCTAAGTAAAAGTAAAGCTAATGCAGCAAAAAAAAAAAAAAAAACTCAAGTAAAAGTAAGTACATTTATTCAATTACAGGTGATTTTATACATCAAAAATCTCTAGCAAATAGGCATTCTGACTGTGAGTGGGGTCGCCTCTCCACATATCTGACCTGTAACATGGTCTGGTCTCCATGCAACAGAGAAAAGTTTATTATCATACTGTGAAACATTCCAGACAAAGCAATAACATTTCCATGATGAAAAGTATTTGACTGACCCTCCACCAGAAAAGTTACACAGTGCACCTTTAAGTAAAGAACAGATACCTAAAATTTTGACTTGAGTACAGTACTTTACTACTTTTACTTCATTACATTCCAGCACTGCCTGTCTGTAAAACTGTTCTTGAAGCACATTTTGGGGCGTGCCTGTTTTACGCTTCTAACCACACCTCCTACTCAGTCTTCAATGTTTTCCTTTTGCTCATTTTAGTTTTTTTTTTTTTCCAGGGAGCCGGTAACAGAGACTGAAATACACTCTGAACTGGGAGAGCTGACGTGGGCTTGACTTGAGTGGAGTTTGCGACTAGCAGCTGGAGAACATCTGGTACTACTGGTCTAAGCCTGCACAGGACATAAGAGCACATGCGTTTGGACTTGGTTTAGACCTGGTTTAGACCCTGGTTTGCGAGTATGGATATCCTAACTACTTGGGACGATGTTAACCCTGCACTGGCCCGGTTTCTATGGGTTCTAGCCCTGGTTTTAGCCACTCTTACAGTTTGGTTGTTCTTCTTCTGCTGTTATAGCTGGAATCAAAACTCAGCTTTATCAATGGAAAGATACCTGGCAGGTAGGTGATTAACATGTAGTACAGTACACACCCCCATCTTGATGCTTTCTGCACAGGTACATAGGGCCACATGTCAAAATGCACTGGGATGCAAAGTTTTTTAACTGTAGTCTAAAAAAATCTCTTTTTCCACCTCCGGTAATTGTAAATGGGAGCTGTTTCCTTTGCAGAAATTGCCAGCTTGCATTGGCTTCTGTGGTTGGCTGCTTTTAACCCATGCTACAATGCCTCTTTCATTCTCATAGGAGTAATAAAATAGCGTTATATTGGACATTCTTTTCCTTTTACAACCAAAACTGTGA